TCCTCATAGCTTTTTTGGCTGTGCATTGGAACATCTCTCATTCTTGATTTTATCATTCATGGGAAGATATCCTCAATGGCTGTGATGTTGTTGTGAGACGCACTCTATGAGGAGCAAAAATGATTTCATCTGCTAAGGCTTGAGGTGAGTGTGAGGACCAATTATGTGATGAGAAAATCCAGATTCTCAATCTCTAGGTTGTTGATGTAGTATGTAGGCATTACAAGGCTATACTATAGTCCACAAGAAGACTTCAAAAGAATATTTCATAGAGTAATAGTTATTACGATAATAGGCCTCAATGCAATGCAATGGTCAGGTTGTTCTATTAATACCTGATGTATTAGGGTTCAAATCTTGGAAGTAGCCTTTTTTGTGTGTATACCAAAGTAAATAAGACTCGGTACATATGTTTCTCTTCAGGCCTTGCTTTGGGTCATGGGCTGCCCTTGTTTTAGTCACTATCATAATTTACCCAAAAGTAGCCATTTCTATGAGGGCTACAAATGGATTGGATCGAATTCAATAAAGGTATATCCAATCTGATAAGAATTAGGATTTTCACGATTATTATTCCAATTTGAATTCGAATATTTGAATTGTAATGGAAAAACTTGATGATATAATTTACCTAATTCACTTTACTGTATTATTTAAATAATATATAATATTTCATAAGTAATAATGGATCAGGTTATAGCGGATCCGATCGGTGTATATTCAAATTTGATCTTCGTATTTAAATCGGACCTAATCCAATTTATTCAAGGTATGTGCACATGACGCATGCTTTTACATGCATGCATACATGTGTATATTTTTTCATATCAATTATACTTGCAAATCAATTACCAACGGGCCCTATTGTGAATATGGAATACTAAGAAGGTGTGAATTGTTTTTCTTATCGTGAATTCGAAAAATAAATCAAAACCATCTGATTTAAAAATGATGCATTTATTTTCACAGTAATTAAACATTGAAAACCATCAGTTAGTCAGGACCCGGTTGTAGATTGTTGATCTATGATGGGAAAGGCATGATATTAGAAGAATTTTGATCATTCTTGTGAGTCGTTCTCACCTTGTAATTTCTTGCCATCGTCATGGATGATGAAATAGAGTGGGAATTTAATCGATCTCTATCAAAACCTTCATATCAAGACCACAATTTTAGGGTCTTGTGTACGAAAATCCTTAGTTCAACATTGTTGCTCTTCATTATTTTTTCTCGAAATGGTAAATGAATGGCCTATTCTAATTTAAAAATTAAACAAATATTTAAGAAAAAAACAGTCAAAACTGTTATTCGAGTCAGATGGGTGGACAGTTCAACTGCCTAGATCAGCAAGTTGCTGAACAAATCATCAGATTTTTTGCAAGGAATAGGTTAAGGGTGAAATAGAACCGGTTGTTTAGACAGTTTTTGGGCCAGACAATTCCACCATCTGGTCAACAATGGTTTGGAACCATAAATAACTAGCTGCTATTAATATATATATATATATACACGCACGCATAATAGTAATTAAGCACATGCATTGCATATGAAAATTTTTTCTTTATATTAATTAATTGAATTTTAGATATATAATAGATAAGATAAAAAATGAAAATTAACAAAAGTAACAATATGATAAAAATAAACTTAAATGCTTATAGCAAATACCAATTATTATTAAATATTTTATTCCATTTCTATCATAGATAAAAATATCTTTTATTTTAACAATTATTTTTATTTAATATGATGAATAAATAACATTAGAAATGCTCTCAATTGTTTTCAAAAAAGTTATGTACATTTTCACTTTTGTGCTTTATATTTTTTAAATATTTATTATTCAATTATGACATCATGGGTTTCTTTGAAAAGTTGGGTCATTGACCCACCATTTAGATAAGAAAATAGCTTGATTTTACAAGTGGTATAAGTGTGCAAGAAAAAAAAAGACGATTAATTCCAATTTTTATCAAATTGGTATCATTACACCAATTTGATAAAAATTCACAAGAAACTCTTGGTTGTAAAATTTACACCAACTTGATAGAAATTTATAATTTGATTGTACAAGTGGTTGGTCCCATTAGTTCTTTTATACTGTTTGATTAATATTATATGTAAGAAACATAAAAAGAAAAGGACGAGAGAGGGAGCGGGAGAATGACTAAGGGAGAACGATAGAGATTGAGGGAGAATGAGATATTGATCGAGAGAAAAAGTGAGGGAAAAGAATGAGAGAGAGAGAGAAGGGAAGAGAAGAAATAAAGGTTTTGATTTGGCTACAGACCGAAGTTGAGAGAGTGGGAGAGACAAAGGGAGCGATAGACTGAGACATGACTATGAGAGAGAGAAAAGGGAGGGAGATCGAGAGACAGAGAGAGTAGGAGAAAAACTAAAAACCTATTTTTGGTATTGGCTTTTGTTTTGTCCAACATGGATTAAAAGTTGCATGTTGGCAACAATCACATAGCCTTTAATGACATGGTGGGGGTTTTTATAATTTAAAGTGTAGAGTCAGTTGTCAGAATTTTGTTGGCTTTTAGGTTATCCTACAAAAACATGTATCTCCTGAATCGCAAGTATTGTAACGATACGGCTTCATATCGGCCCATATCGTAATGTATCGAAGCGATAGGCACTGATACAACCGATACAGATTAGCGTTTTCTGCGCGCGTGCGTTTATTATAAAAAAGGTGCACCTAGCATGATTCGAACACAAACCACCCAAAGCTAAACATTAAACGCACGCATAAACAATTAAGCCACTTTTAATCTTGTGTAATCCAATAAAAAAAATAACTTCTTTATATTCTAGTGTCCAAATGTAATACAAAAAAATTACATTTATGTTTAACAATTCCAGAAAAATTAAAAAAATAATATTCAAAACTAATATTTTATAAACTAATAGAATAAATAAATTCTTAAATCCACATTTATATAAAAAATTTGTTTAATCTCGAGAAATATATACAAAAAATGATATCAATAATAGAATAATTATTTTGGTACTTAATATTTATAAATTTTAACATGACATGTATCTTAAAATTTTATAAATTATTAATTAATATTTTAATGTGAACTAAATAAAAGTATATATATATTATTTATAAAAATAAAAATATTATTTACAAAAACCTTGAGAATATAATATAAATTAAATTTGTCAAATCTATTAATCTAAATTTATTTTAAAAAATGATTTTTTTATCTCAAAATTTATGGAAACAAAAATATTAATAATGGAATAATTATTTTAACAATTAAAAATTATGAATTTGCATATGATGTGTATATTGGAAAATTTAATATATTTGATATATTTTAAGTTAATATTATATATTACTAAAAAAATTTAATTTATATTTTAATTACATTTTATAATAACATTTTTATTGTTTACAAAGATAAAAATATTGTTAACTAAACATTTGAGAATTATTTTTTACTTAATATTAAAAATTAAAATAGTAAAATAGAAAATAATCAACTTAATACTTCACATATAATAGTTGCATACTTTTTATGCCTTGAAAATCAATAGAAAATGACATAATAATAGTTTTGTGCATGTATAAATTTTTAATATATATATATTCTTGTTTGATACAATATGAATAAAATTTTATGATTTCTATGCATCATTTCTTCACATATACCTTTAGAATATACATTTTCTATGTATCTGTACATTAATTATGGTTACTTTTATCTTAAAAATATTATCCGTATCTGAGTGGTCCGATACGATACCTGATACCGATACTTTAATCCTTGATTACACTTAATTTTTGTTTGTCTATGATATCATTTGACCCAAACCACTAACCACCACCTAAAAAGAAAAATAATTTGATTTCTAGGTAGACATTAAATTTTGTATTACATTTCCATCATTGATAAAATTATTTCTTATTTATAATACTTATTTTTGTTTAATATAACGAATGCATAATATTAGAGATGTACCTAACATTTTATTTTTTATAAATATATAACATTAGATATGTACCCGGATTTTTCCTCGTTTTTTTTATTTTTGTAGATCTTTGCATTTTCTATTTTTAAAAATTTTATTATTTGACTATGACATTATTTCATTTCTAGGTAGATTTTAAATTTGGCATTCCATTTTCATCATTAATAAAAATACTTCTTACATTTCATACTTATTTATTATAAAATTGCTTGCCCAGCACCGGAAGGGAAGAAAATGTTTTTGTTTTCAAATTACTTTTCNAAAATATATCTTAAATATAGGATTTAATGAGAGAGAATAGGAAAATATTTTTATTTCTAATTGGTTTTAAATTTTACATTCCATTTCCATCATTAATAAAAACATTTCTTATTTATCATACTTATTATTGTTTAAACATGGATTGGCCCATTGACACAAAATGTTTAATTTGTATGTTAAACATTTCTAATTGGTTTTAAACATGGATTGACCCATTTGACCCAAAATGGTTTAATTTCTTACCACCACCTAAATAAAAACACTATTTTTTTAGGTAGATTTTAAAAGTATAAGCTTTTCTGTTATTGAAATTATTAATTTATTAACTATGGATTTAATTAATTGAACTTAATGATGAGAAGAAACAAAAATGACTTAAATATATGATTCAATGAACATGAATGCAAGTAAATAACTTAAGTGTTGGATTTAATGAGAGGGAATTGAATGCTTTAATATCTTAAAATTACCACTTTTTAACTCATTTAATATCAATAACTGATTACCATGTTTGCCCTTATTTTCTATCAATAAATTTAAATATAGAGAGATAAATTTTATCCTCAAAAAATTCTAGAAATATTATTGAGGCCATTCATGTTTTTTAAAATTATATATATATATATATATATATATATATATATTAAACACCAGTATTAATTAGAGTCTTGAACTTCACTCCATGCCGCSTGAGAGATCCATAAATTTAATAATTTATTTTGTGGAAAAATTACTCGTCTTGTGTACAGATAACATTATTTTACTATTAAGAAGACACCACTCTGCAATACATTCATCTTTGTTAAAATGTGTGAGATGGTAACATTAGTGGATGTTCCTGTTGTTGCAAAATGATGCTATTCTCCAAATTTGTAAACTTGCTGGTTGAAGTTGAAGTGGTTGAACTTGTTGGCTATAAGCTCAAAGTTTCATTGATGAAGATCTCCACCTCTTGGCCATTATCGGGGACTACCGAAGGCTCATCCGACCTTCTTAATCTTTCGAGTTCTGATGCAACTTCCATCATTGTTGGCCTTTCCCTTCCACTCGTATTCAAGCATCTCATTGCAAGGTTAGCAACTGCCTGGAGCTCCTCTGTTTTACCCTCCTGCTTAATTTGGGGATCAAGAATCTTAAAGAAGTGGTCTTCCCTCACTGACGAAGCAAAATATGTGACTAAACATCTATCTTCTGATGATCTACTGGAAGAAATTGTTTTTTCTACTGTTAAGAGCTCTAGAAGAACTACCCCAAAACTGAAGACATCACTCTTCTCAGTAAATTGGTATGACTGAAAGTACTCTGGGTCAAAGTATCCAAAGGTCCCTTGTACCGATGTAGTTAAGTGAGTTTTATCATTTTCAACCAATCTTGAAATCCCAAAGTCTGAAACCTTAGCTGTATATTTTTCATCCAAGAGTATGCTTGAAGATTTTATGTCCCTATAGTAAATTGGTATGGAGGCTGCTGAATGTAAGTAGGCAACTGCACTTGCAATTTCTGTGGCGATTTTTAAACGAATGTTCCATGAAAAGAGCAAGTCTTTGTTTTTCTCATGAATCCTTTCAGCAAGGTTTCCACCAGAGATGAACTCATAAATTAGTAGAGGAAATTCTGCATCTAAGCAACAACCAAACAGTTTAACCACATTCCTATGATTGATCTGTGAAAGTATGACAATTTCATTAATGAACTGCTTGAGCCGGTTTTCATCCACTATTTT